AGCAGTAGTACAATGGAACTTCAGTCTTTTGCTGGAGTCAGAGGTGACTACCAGTGAGACTGATTCAAGTTTAAACCATCACAAAGTTCATACGTTTTCATACAAGAGACAGAGAATCTTATAACAGGTCTCTAGACACTCATCCAGTAAGAATTATGAAATGTATTTATTTGGTGTGTATTAATGAGCTAGTAGAGGGATCCTCAGGGGCACAGACCACATATTCTGATGCCAGCAAAATAAAACATGCATTTTACATTAAATTCAAGTATGGGACAAAAACTTCTGCTTTCCCTAAAGCCTCTGAACTACCCTCTTCCCAACTAAGTTAAATTCACATTCTTCCATTAGGTATGAAAGACCCAAGTAGCCTCTTCCACCCGAGGGGTCTATTGTAAGAACCTACGAATCTTACAATGGAGCGTTACAAAGATATCATGATGCTTTCACGGCACTCCCTGATCTTCCACGATTTGTTAAGATCTGTACTGCACACTGAATATGCGCTGGATGTGGCGTCTGTTCCCCCGAGGGGGAAGAAAAGCGAGAAAGACTACTTCTTAACAGAAGAACGTGGAGAAAACGATGGAGACTGACAGGTTTCTCCCTCCCTGGTCTCTTCAGATGGACTGCACCTTCTTTTGCAGTACATCCACTGACTCCAACACAATCTCCCAGTCTGTTACCTTTCATAAAGGCCTTTCATAGTTTAGTTTCTCTTGCAAATCATCAGTAGCAATGCTTATGAGAATCAGCATTAACAGAGAACGCCCTGATGAATCAAATGATATATGGATTAATATTAACTCCTCATACTGCTTTCCAGTGAGACTCATATAAGCTATTTAACTTGAATGCAAAACTTTCCCTGAAAGCCCTATTGCTTCTTTACTAGTCCTTCAGTCAAGCAGCTTCAAGGTAACAGCCACTGTCAGCATTTAGCTACAACTACTGCAGAGATGTTCCTTACTCTCTTCAGAATACAGCAAGCAGAAACCTGAATTCCGTACGTCACAGATTTTGGGTGTCATCCCTTGCAATGTAGCATAATACATCCACCCTCAGTGCCAACACTGAAACCGGCACAGGCTAAATTCTGGGGAAGATGCTGATATGCGCTAACCACCTTGCAGACAACCACATTACAGGCTTCAGAAGCAGTTGAATACAACCAGCCCTCTCCTCCTTTCTCTTACCGTCTTGACTCCTGTGATTCAGATGAAAGTCCAGCCTGATCTTAACCAAAAAATGAAAAACGTGCACTGCCATCATAGAAGATGCAGCTTCTCCTCACTCTTCCTCTGCAAATCCCTAGATTTGCTAGCTAGGCTATCCTAGCTTCCTTGTAATGTGTATCTTGCCAACTGCACCACAACAGAGAAGAATCCGAAGAAGCTGTTTCTCAGCATTCCTCTGGTATCCAAATTTTAAATGAAACCTACAGTCATGTTTGTGATGGAGGCAAAAATACTCAAAGCTGGACAGTCAGAATAAGACTTATGGTGCTTTTGCATAAAGCGCCGTGGGATATCGTTACACTGAGAAGACCCTTTCCAAAAATAAATGTAAAAATACAGGCCCTAAGTTACTAAACTGGCATCTCCTTTCCTTCCCTATCTGTTTTCCTTCAACAAACAGAAGCCACTTCACTCTTCAGATCTTGCAACACAACCAATATAAATTTCTTTTTTTACCCCATTCTGCTTACAATTCATGTAGTGCAGCATTCCCATATTGCACCAATATAGGGTAAGATCTTAGAGCCTAACAGCATGCCAAGAACAGTGAAAACACACTACCTGGGAGAGCAAGCGCAAATAATTAGTTCATTTTTATTGTTAGAAATAAAACACATTTGTACAGATGGCCCCACAACAAAGCCAACCAGAAACAACTGCTTCAGCAAGATCATTCATGACATCTAGCACGGAGATAGGCCATGACCATAGATGTGCATAAGGTCATAATTACTGAGTTTCCAAGACAGATGCTATTTAAACGCACACAATTGTATATTCTTAGTGTTTATGTTGTCAATGATTAATGACCAAATTGCTTCCTCTTGCACACTGCTCATATGGCATTCTGCATGACTGCTTAAGTTGCATAGGGAGGAATAAAGTTGTTAGAAGAGAAACCTGCTGCCAGTCACTGCTATGATCTGCTGAAGCCTCACCCCGAGTCCACTTCACTGCCCTTTCTTTGCCTGTCCTTCAGGCAGCTTGTGACAGTCCATGTGTGCAGCAATAGAAATTGCTTTCAAGTAACAATTTGCCTTACTGTGTTTATTCTGCAAACTCCCTCCATTTAAGAATTTCTCCAAATTCTTAACTGGCTTTATTATTTTCTTCAAATATTTTCTCTAGTGAGTAAGAAGCCAAAGAATGTAGTAACGATGGGAGGGAACAAGAAGTTGGGGATGCTAAAATTAAACAATTCCCTACATGCTTTATATAGAAAACTAAAAGGCTGTGAAATAAGCCTTGTCCTCTGTACAAGGGGTAAGTGTGCATTTATTTACATGATGAATGACAAAGTCAGCTGAACATAAGGAACATCCCAGTGCTCCCTGCAATTTCACTTATGCACAGAAGCAACCCTCAGTCGGTACCATCAGTACCAGGGTTCTCTTTTCTGCATTTGTCCTTACTGTACTCAGCAAAGAGAGGGCGTTTCAAGTGTACATTTTGTAATACAGCATTTTTTGAATGTTCAAACACTTCCGAACAGCTGTTTGAGATGACCAGGCAGGTTCTGCTTCTTGCTTGTCTTTCGTTTTAATGACCATTTCAAAAGACTTGAAAGATTTCTTGCACAGGTACAGAGTAAATTGGGGGGGGGGGAATGCACCTCACCAGAAATCTGTGTGCTCTGGGAAGAATTTGGGCAAGTGTCAAACATACTATATTGGTCTGCATTTATACTTGTCTACTTGTACAAGTTCTTATCTATATTAAATAGGAAACAAGTAAAGCTAAAGGCCACTGCATAAAACAAGAAAGAGATGGATTTTGTTAAAAGGGGCCCAACCCAAAGGACTATTGATTGGACTTAGACCAGGCATCAAATGGTGGTACTTCCTTCTGTTACATCAATGATAACTAGATGAACTTCAGGTTCTGAAATTCACAGGAATAATGATAACGCTTGCATTTCAGACCTCTGTTTTCTAAGCATATGCCATTTAAGAGGAGTTTTCTAAAAGGTTTTCAATTTGGACAACGGTACCTTGTGTTTTCAATACTTTCCTTCTAGGGCCTGCATGATCAAATCGGCTAAACATGCAGGGCCAGGTTATGCCTTGCCCTTAAGCAGATGTGTAGTGGGAAAGAGATCTCTCTGCCTGAACTGTACTACTGAATCCAAATATTCTCTAGCTGTGTCTTAGCAGGCAGTACTGAAGTGTTACCAACTCGGTCCCATCCCCACTGTCCCGACTGTGAACATTTTTTGATTGACTCATCTCTGAAATCAATATTGCCAGATTTAAAAATAATAAACTACAAGGATTGTGGATTAGATTTTTGTCTGATCAAAAAAAAGAGAGGTACATACACTACACTGTATAAGAACAAATAGAAAAGCAGGACCTTTTTAATATCCTTTTTTTGAAAATGTGGGTTATTTTATAGAAAAAATAATTTGAATACAAAAATAGCTCTTGGACAAAATAATTTACATTTTATAGTACCAGAAAGTGTAATTGATTAGGAATGAAAACAGGCATCATAAGGTCAATTCGGCACCTTAAGTTTAAAGTGCTTTATGGTTTTACTGAAAGAAAAAAAAAAAGAGAAAAAAAGATTTAAGTGCTGAAGTATTATCACAATTCCATGCTTTTCTCACCAGTAGTATTACTATACATTGATTAAGGCTTAGAAATTTATTCACTGAAAGCATTTAATTGTTACAAGCATGTCACTTTCTCTCTTCTTACAAACTCTAACTCTAGTTATTAAGATGGGGGGGAGGTGTTACAGGGACACCCATAACACAATATTTTACTTTTTAAAAAAAACAACCTCCTTGTAACAAGCAGACAACCTGATCTGTATACTCAATGACAACTATTTTTAGGACAAGCATTGCCTGTTTGAAATCAGTCAGGAAGCACCAAAATAAGATCAAGTAAATTATTAAGTGTCATTATTGATATCAGCTGATTATATTTCCCATATTAGAAAGGGGGGGTGAAGCAAAGCATTGCATCTTTTATAGTAGTATCAATGTACTGCCAAGACTCAAAGCCCTTTGGTTGGACAAATTTTAGAGTGATTTTTTTTTAAAGCTTTTCTTATTCGCGAAACCTTTGTTATTTCTTTCAGTGAGCCACATTCAAATTACCACAACCCAGCTTCCCAGCACAAATGCCTGCACTCATCCTTTACAAGGCTGTCTACTACAATCATATGTGAAACACGACTGTTGTAAAAATAAGCGCTTACGAAAACTATGGCCAAAGGACTGTTTTTTCGAGCTTTTCAAAATACCAATGAAAATTGCTAATGGGAAGCAAATAGGCATTATCTTTTAGTCTTTTACACGCAAATATTAAACCGAAATTGATGGTAAAATATGAAACTGAAATTTAACTTCATCATTATACCCAGGTTAGCAGTTCCCCCC